TTAGTTAACAGACCAAAGATGGCAAGTTGGGCAATTTTCTTTGGCACACGGTTTCCTTGTCACTGACCTTTAACACTCTATGCCTTATGTGCTCAAGGCCATAAACTGTCTGTGCCGCTTATCAGTATTCTGCTTGACAAAAATTATCCCCCTCCCCAAATTTGTTTCTGAAACTGCCCTATACCACTTCCATTTACAGTGTGCACTGGTCATTGATAATCAGAAAGAGAACCCCAAGACCCTGCAAAATCAAAGAAACATCCAACTATGTTATACACTATAATTTACATTCTTTATCTGTGCCAGGTGGAAGCAGTTTTGCCTAAAGGCTACTAAGGGAGGGCCTGGAACAAAAGCTGAAGCTCCAGACTTCTCTAAATGGTGTTTATTGTTCCTTGTTCTCCACACCTCTTTGTGCCCTGAGAGCAGAAGGGAAAGAAGTGGGGGGGGGGATGGAATTCTCAGCTGTGGAGCTATTCCAGGGCAGCCTGGCTCTCAGGCAGGGGTGTTCCTCATGGAGTGCTGAGCTACAAAGTGGTCCAAGGAGCTGCACTGTCTTGGGCTGGTGGGAGTTGTGGTGAAGACTAGAGCCTGAACTGTTGTTCTTAAAGCCCAGATCCTCCAGGGTGGGGGTCCTATCAGGGCTTTTACTTGTAATGGTGCAAATTCTGTCTGGCACATTCTAGGGGGTGCCTATGAAACCATGACACATGTGGAGGTATGCAGGGCAGAGCCGGCACAACCAGAAGCAGCATCTCCACCACTCCAAGGCCTCCCCTGCACCTCCCTACCCACCCCTGCCTTGACAGTTGGCTCTATCGCCATGTGTTGGTATCAACTCACTGTCAACTAACAACAACAACAGCAATTTCTGTCTGGGCCCTGACTCAGGCTCCAAATTATGTTCCATGTTTTTAGTTCATGCCCTTTTCTTCCATCATCTTAGGTAGTTTGCAAAGAAGTTATGCTGTATATGTAAGTTCTGGCTAATACAAACCAAACCAAACCCGCTGTCCTTGAGTCATTTCTGACGCATAAACCAGATAACCAAATCCATGGCCATCTAGTTGATTCTGACTCATAGAGAACCTATAGGACAGAGTAGAACTGTCCCATAGGATTTCCAAGGCTGTAAATCTTTATGGAAGTAGACTGTCTCCTCTCTCTGGCAGAGCAGCTGGTGGGTTTGAACCACCAACCCTTTTTATGGTTAGCAGCTGAGTGCTTTTAACTACTGTACTTTGTGATTTTTACACAAATTTCTACTCAAACTGAGAATTTCCACAGCATTCCTGAGCCATGAATAGTTTAGGGGGCTAGTTGTGGGAGCTTATGACTAGTGATGAAAGTCCCCCAATCCTATCTCTATCAAAAGTGACAGTAGAACAGTGGTTTTCACCCTCAGCTGCACTTTAGAATTGTTGCTGTTACTGTTATTTGCCATCAAGTCGGACCCGACTCATAGCGACCCCTCCTTAGGTTTCCGAGAAGGTATCACTACACAAGTAGATTGCCCAACCTTCCTTCCGAGTAGTGGCTGGTGGGTTTGAACCACCAGCCTTCTGGTTAGCAGTCAAGTGTCTTAGGCACTATGCTACCAGAGCTCCCAGGCTGGGTCATGGGAGTAGGACCCAGGTATAAATACATTTAAATCTTCCCAGGTGATTCAGTGTGCTGCTAAGGCTGAAAACCTTTAGGAAGACTGTAAAAAAAAAAAAAAAAA